CTCCCACGGCGCCCAATACCCTCGCCCCGCCAGCCTCCTGGAGCTCGCCATCGCTCGGACGTCCCTTCCCCGTGCAGTTTTCGGTTTCGTGCGTCCTTTTTTGCCAAACGTTCCAGGATGCTCCTCGATGGCCCTCGCCGGGAAAAAATGAACACGTCCGAGCGATGCCGAGGGAGGGGAGGGTTAGGGGGGGCAGGAAGCACAAGGAGGTGGGCGAGGAGGAGGATCAGGAGGAGGACGTCCTCGAACCCATGGGACGGGGTGGCCTCCACCGCTTCCTGAGCCCCCCTCTCTTTTCCTCACCCCAATCCCCGCCCCTCCCGCGCCTCGCCACCCTCCCCCTTCCTCGTCCTCCCTTCTGCTCAACCAACGCCTATATCCCCCCTCCTGCTGCGCCTTCTTTCCTCTTCCTTTGCCCTCCTCCTCCTCCTCCTCCTCCTCCTCTTCCTCCTCCTCAGCGTCCTCCTCCTCTTCCGCCTCCCGTTCAGCGCGCTTCTACCCAGCGCTCCGTACGCCCAAGACGTGCCGAGCACCTGGCCACACGAAGTTGGCCAGAGAGAAATAATAATGCAGGGATGATTTGGAGCTCGCGCGCAGCGCATCGTCTAGTCAATATCTCTCTCTCTCTCTCTCGTTGTCTCTCTCCCTTGCTCTCTCTCTCTATCTCTCTCACTCTCTCTCACTATCTCTCTATCCCTCTCTTTCTCTGACACCCACCATCAATCTCTCTCTATATGTATATCATTATCTGTATACATATATATATATGTATGTGTGTATCCCTTTTCCCCCAAACAGCGGAAGCTTAGAGGTTCTTACTTGGTCTAACAATCTGGCCATGCCTGCTGACTTTTCGCCCCCGTGCCTCCCCCGTGACACTCCGTGCCGCCCTCGTGCCGCCAAATGCCGCCCCCGTACCGCCCCGTGCCGCCACGTGTCGTCCCCGTGCCGCCCCGTGCCGCCCTCTTGCCGCCGGGTGCCGTCCCCGGTTCCGCCCCGTGCTGCTCCTGCCGCCTGTGCCCGTGCCGCAGTGCTTTGCATAGATTCGCTTTCCATTTCTTCACATTGCTTCGCACTGCTTTGCAATGCTTTGCTTTGCATTGCGTTGCATTGCATTGCATTGCATTGCATTGCTTTGCATTGCATTGCATTGCTTTGCCGTGCATTGACTTGCACTGATTTGCATTGCATTGCTTTGTATTGCACTGAGTTGCTTTGCATTGCTTTGATTCGCTTTGCTCTGATTTGCTTTGCATTGCATTGCTTTGCATTGTTTTGCATTGCATTTCTGTGGATTGTACTGCTTTGCAGTGCTCTGCTTTGCTTTGCATTGCATTGCTTTGCATAGCTCTGCATTGCTTTGCTTTGCATCGCTTTACATTGCATTGCTTTGCATTGCTTTGCATTGCTTTGCATTGCTCTGCTTTGCGTTGCATTGCTCTGCTTTGCTGTGAATTGCTTTTCTTTGAATTACGCTGCATTGCATTGCTTTGCTTTCTATTGAGTTGCATTACTGTGCTTTGCATTGCTTTGCTTTGCTTTGCGTTGTTTTGCTTTGCATTGCTGTGCAGTGCTCTGCGTTGCATTGCGTTGTTCCGCATTCCTTTACATTGCATTGCATTGCTTCGCATTGCTTTGCATTTCTCTGCTTTGCATTGCAATACGTTGCTTTTCATGGTTCTGCATGGCTTTGCAACGCTTTGCGTTGCATTACTTTGCATCGCTTTGAATTGCATTGCCTTGCATAGCTTTGCCTTTCCATACTTTGCACTGCTTGGCGTTGCGTTGCATTGCTTTGCATTGATCTGCTTCCGCTCGTGCCCGTGCCGCACTGCTGTGTTTTGCACTGATTGGAGCTTCATTTGTTTAAATTGTTTCGCATTGTTTTGTATTTGTTTGCATTGCTTCGCATTGCTTTGCTTTGCATTACTTGACATTGCGTTGCATTGATTTGCACAAATTTGCATTGTGCTGCTTTGCATTGTTCTTTGGCGTTGCTTTGTATTGCATTGTTTTGCATTGCTTTGCTTTGCGTTGCTTTGCTTTGCAGTGCGTCGCATTGCTTCAAATTTCTTTGCATTGCATTGCTTTCCTCTGCCTTGCGTTGCATTGCTTTTCTTTGCATTGCTTTTCTTTGCATTGCTTTGAATTGCAGTGCTTCGCATTGCTTTGCATTGCATTGAATTGCGTGCATTTCTCTGCTTTGCATTGCTTTGCGTTGCTGTGCGTGGGTATTGCTTTGCATTGCGTGCCACCTAGATTCTCCACCACCTCCCGAGGACGGACTTATCGGTACCCCCGTTGGGCTTTGCAAATTACCGATGATTCCGCCCCATCACCCATTCTGAATATGAACTCATACCATCCCCGCCGAACCGGTATCCCCCCACTCATCCTCTGAAAATAAGCTACGCGCGCACATCGTGTATCAAACATCATCAATATTCAAGGGCCTCTTGCTAAAGAAACAGAAGCGAAGTGCACGCGCGCGCGTCGTCACGCGCGCACGCCGACATTTTCAAAAGCCTTCAGTTGCGTACGGATTTCAAAATCGCGTGCCCCGAAAACATATACAGGCACAGGGTTTCGCAACACGGGTTTTCAACAAAAATTGCGCGCGTGCTCTTGCGAATTCTGAGAAAAATTATCCTGGCGAAGGACCCAACCATATGCAATTGTGAATACTGCAATTGTGAATATCTTCTCGGTGGAGCCCCCTACGGGGCCACGAAACGTACGAGGGGTGTGCCGAAATGGGTGTGCGGGACTCATGCGGGCACACCCACTGGGGCCTTCGGTGGAGCTCCCTATGGGGCCACGAAACGTGTGAGGGGTGTGCCGAAATGGGTGTGCGGGACGCATGCGGGCACACCCACTGGGACCTTCGGCGGAGCTCCCTATGGGGCCACGGAACGCGTGAGGGGCGTGCCGAAATGGGTGTGGCTGACGCATGCGGGCGCGGGCACTGGGGCCTTCGGTGGAGCTCCCTATGGAGCCACGAAACGTGTGAGGGGTGTGCCGAAATGGGTGTGGGTGACGCATGCGGGCGCGGGCACTGGGGCCTTCGGTGGAGCTCCCTATGGAGCCACGAAACGTGTGAGGGGTGTGCCGAAATGGGTGTGGGTGACGCATGCGGGCGCGGGCACTGGGGCCTTCGGTGGAGCTCCCTATGGAGCCACGAAACGTGTGAGGGGTGTGCCGAAATGGGTGTGGGTGACGCATGCGGGCGCGGGCACTGGGGCCTTCGGTGGAGCTCCCTATGGAGCCACGAAACGTGTGAGGGGTGTGCCGAAATGGGTGTGGGTGACGCATGCGGGCGCGGGCACTGGGGCCTTCGGTGGAGCTCCCTATGGAGCCACGAAACGTGTGAGGGGTGTGCCGAAATGGGTGTGGGTGACGCATGCGGGCGCGGGCACTGGGGCCTTCGGTGGAGCTCCCTATGGAGCCACGAAACGTGTGAGGGGTGTGCCGAAATGGGTGTGGGTGACGCATGCGGGCGCGGGCACTGGGGCCTTCGGTGGAGCTCCCTATGGAGCCACGAAACGTGTGAGGGGTGTGCCGAAATGGGTGTGGGTGACGCATGCGGGCGCGGGCACTGGGGCCTTCGGTGGAGCTCCCTATGGAGCCACGAAACGTGTGAGGGGTGTGCCGAAATGGGTGTGGGTGACGCATGCGGTGACGTGTGAGGGGTGTCGCGAAATGGAGTGTGAGGGGTGTGCCGACGCATGCGGGCGCGGGCACTGGGGCCTTCGGCGGAGCTCCCTATGGAGCCACGAAACGTGTGAGGGGTGTGCCGAAATGGGTGTGGGTGACGCATGCGGGCGCGGGCACTGGGGCCTTCGGTGGAGCTCCCTATGGAGCCACGAAACGTGTGAGGGGTGTGCCGAAATGGGTGTGGGTGACGCATGCGGGCGCGGGCACTGGGGCCTTCGGTGGAGCTCCCTATGGAGCCACGAAACGTGTGAGGGGTGTGCCGAAATGGGTGTGGGTGACGCATGCGGGCGCGGGCACTGGGGCCTTCGGTGGAGCTCCCTATGGAGCCACGAAACGTGTGAGGGGTGTGCCGAAATGGGTGTGGGTGACGCATGCGGGCGCGGGCACTGGGGCCTTCGGTGGAGCTCCCTATGGAGCCACGAAACGGTGTACTGGGTGGGTGAAGAGGAGAGGAGGAGAGGAGGGGAGGAGAGGAGGAGAGGAGAGGAGGCGGAGGAGGAGAGGAGGAGGAAGGAGACGCGGGGCACCGTCTCTTCAAAACGAAGACCCAACACCACAGGATGGTTGGGAAAAAACATTGTTTTCAACATGCTCAGGAAATGTTACCTCACGGGCTTCGCGCGCGCGCATGTCGAAATCGTTCGAACACCCTTGCGCGCGCGCCGTCGCGAGAATCTTTTGCCCAGAACAAATTCGACGAACTGCGCGCGCGCGTCGTCGCGCGCGCATGACGACACCCGTCAGAAACAATCGGTGTCGCAACGATTTCAAAATCGAATGCCAAAAAAAAACATACCACAACGAAAAGTCGGTTTGCAACATAAATTCAGAAAAACGTGCGCTTGCGCCCTTGCGAATTCTTAACTGAACCATCGGCTTTTCAACATTGTCGCTGAATTCTGCCAAACGGGCCTTTGGCACCGCATACCGAAATCATTCGCGAACCCTTGCGCGCGCGCGGGGGGGCAATATCCGCGTCAAAAAAAACAATGCGGGCAATTTTCGCGCGCGAGCCGCGCGCGCATGCCGAACTCTTTCCCGAACCGTCATCACCGACGCGCGGACGCCGCCATGGTCGTTGACGTGATCAGCATCGGCGCCCGCACTGGCCGCGCCGTCGACTTTGTCCACGTCGCCACCAACATCGCTACTATCACTTCGCGTCTACCGTCGTCGACGTTGCCATGATACCGCGCCCGCCCAAATCGCCGATACGCATTGAATTGCCCGCTGAGATGCGCCCAACGGCCAGCGCCACCGCGGCCGCGTCGGCGGCGCCAAATTGG